ATTTTTGACGAGATACGAGCCTCTAATTTGCCAAATCGGTCAACTCCACGAAACAAATATTAGAGAAGATTAATGAAATTATATATGTACATCAAATATAAACATTAATACCAATACTTTTTATACCGCTGCATTAAAAAATTACTCAGCTAAATTCTTACAAGCCTGTGAGTTACTTTAGAGTGTGGAAGTTAATCACATTGCCCTCTGAAATAAATGATTCATTATTCAACAGTTGTTCAAACGAATCGATCATTATTTATCAATAAATCTCTGTGCCTAGTTTTGTCATTATGTCTGTATTAAATATCGCATTAAGATGTAATTGCATCTGTTGCGGTCAAGATTAACTAATTCGTCTTTTGTCCAGCGATACTGTAAAAAACTACGTTAGTTAACTAACCGTGTTTCTGATCATTTGTAAAGTATGATATTTAATATCTTCGATTGGATTCTGTGGTCTGCGTTTTTAATTAGATAAGGTAATAGTACAGAGATTAATTTATTGAAACGTAAAACTTGATGTTATGTTATGAATTTAGGTGAGCTTTGTTAATTTTTGTATGAATTATATTATGTTTATTCGAAAATTGTGTCTCTTATTTTCTTCTCATTTTATTCAGTTAATTTATTCAGTTTATATCCACAAACTGTAACTACTGCAATGCCTAACTGAAACACTAATTAGCTCAGTATCAGTGAAAACTGTTCCTCCGAATTATTTTCCCTTATAAATCAACCTCCATAACCCATTCTCACCTGTTTCCAACTCCACCACAGTAATACCCACTTCCATCTAATAAAAATCCACCAAAAATTCCACCTGTCCACCAGATTCTCCCTACAAAACCACGCACCCTTCGTTCTATTAATATTCCCTCCACTTGGTAAATCAAGGTAACAATTCTGCCTGCCACGCCCCGCATAAAAGTACGTTCCAACGATCCATGCATCTGGCCCCTACGTTTTATCTCGAATTCGCGGAACGGAACGACTCCAAGGAGCGACGATCATTTTCTACGATCTCGATCGCTGCTCGCGCAGGACGCATAATCGCGCGGCTCGTGTTAATTATATTACTATTTACCATCGTGTGCACCGATAGCTCGCAGGGATAAAGTATCGGTGATCTCTTTATCGAGAGTTAGGTCGGAATAATTATTCGAGAGTTAGGCTGACTGCAAACCTATCTCTCTCTCTCTGTCTCTACTGTGGCGTGTGTCGACTGTAAAATAAGCCTACAATTATAGTACATGATAGGTACCATTACATGAAATATGATATCGTATTGCGTAAAGAGACATTATATCTGCATTCGCGGCCGGCTGATTTACGGTACAATAAAAGCTGCCACGGGTTCACGGTCTATTAGCAGTTACTAATGCAGCTGTACGACTCCGCGTTCGCATCTGTCATTCGAATTCGTTTTCAGAACGAACGTTCGGTTTTCCGACGTTCGACGTCATTTCGAGACATCCGATGACGTGGATTTATCGATGTGTCGTTTGTCGAACGGAGCTTTTGTTTTTTTCAGTGCAAGTCTGAATGAAATATTTAGAGTGAATATGTGTTTTTCGGAGTTCAAATGTTTTATTGTTGTGTAGCGATTGAAAGTCTGGAAACTCTTTTGGAATAAATTTATGAATTTTTTAAATTTCAAATATTTTACTATTATTATTTTTTGGAAGAACGGAATTTTTTGATATTTCAATTCTTAAACGAAGCTTTGTTTTTGATAAATTTATTGTCGCGATTGAAAGTCTGGAAACTCTTTTGAATAAATTATGAATTTTTTAAATTTCAAATATTTTACTATTATTAATTATTTTTTGGAAGAATGAGATTTTTTGATATTTCAATTCTTAAACGAGGCTTTTTTTAACGAGTTCATTATAGCGATTGGAAGTCTGTTTTTCTGGAACAGATGAAAATTTTTTGGTTGTTCTACTTTTCTAAAGAGGATCCTTCTTGATAAATCTTGTTTTTAATTAATTAGGGCTAATTGCATTACTTACTTTTCATCATGTGACAGTCTCTAAGTATATAGCGTAGGTATCTATTATTAAATTGCGTTTCTGAGAAAATTAGAAATTGTTCAAGCATGCCGCGTTGATTTTTCGATAGAAATTTTCACTCCACCAATTTCTCCACGATGCGATCGACGTTAATAGAATTTTCTTTACGAAAGGTATTAATAATAAGCAATAAAATGTTACGATTATGATGTGCGTGACATATAAATCCATAGAATTCTACGATATAAATTTCGTTACTCGATAGTTTACTAGTATCTGAACGTAAAACGTTAACGTCCAGGCAAAAATAAGTAAGAATTCTTTACACGAGAAAATTCTAATTTATGCGAAATGAAAAGATCTTTTCCTTGTAGTAAATCTATCACGTAATCCTCTATAAAAGCACCTTAAGTATTACTTATTTCTCCTTACGATCGTTCACATCTCGATCGACGCGATTTCTCTTTTCGCAAGGAATCATCAATTATCCAATTTTTTCTCACTGCCGGAATTCATTTCATATACGAATCAATGGGGCATTTATCTTCCAAAGATAAAGTGAATGTAACACATAAAAACGTCAAATTTTCCTTTCAATTACAACAAATATCTCCAATACTCAAAACATCTAGATTTCTATAACTATAAAATCTGGAAAAACCAAATTTTTCTTCCAATTATAACAAACATTTCCAACAATCAAAATATCTAGATTTCTGTAACGATAAAATCTAAAGAAACTACGAAGAGGATGAAAATATTCTCTACAAAATCTAAAAAAAAAAATATTGTCCCAAATTTTTAGAAATGAAATTAATATCTCAACGCAATCTCCTAAGTTTCTAATATTCAATTTCCATTTTAAACGGTGCAATTTATCGGCGAATTCCATATTTCGCAATAATTAATATTCCGAAGAATGCGCGTTATTTCCAACATTTACCGGAAGTTTCTAAATGACAGAATTGACTTTTCCCAGTGAAATGCCTAACCACCAACGTTGCACCGATATTCAGCCGCGTGTGTAGTTTCAGAATCGAATGGAAATCGGCGGGTAATTAGATCGATATCGCGATGGAAATTCGTCGAACGTGACTCATGTTGTGTAAACGTTTTACAAAATGTAATGATACGTTTCTATCAATATACGCGGATGTGATTCACGATCTAATCGAATCTGGCCAACTGTTCGTTGATTTATGGTCTATTGTAGCGTAAAGAACCGTTCCTTCATTTTCGTGTTTCATTATTATTCATTATCAAGTTGCGACACGTTAGTTATTTCACTTATTCCAATGATTTCAGTTTAGATCGGTATTACGTGGAATTTGTTGTGCCCGTGGACCGTTATTCACGATTATTTAACAGATATCGACCAGGTGATAACTTTTCCCAAGTTTCCTCCTATTCCATTAATTTCCAAACCTATTTTATTTTTTTCCTCAATTCTTATACCTTTATTGTCTTATTTTGTAATTAGCAATTTACGAATGAATAAGATTTATAGAAAAATTGGCAAAATAAATTATGCATTTGCTGAAAAAACACTAAAAAATAAGTATGGTTCTCCAGAAATTTAATTTAAGATTTCTTTTCGATCGTAGTAAAAAAATTTAATAAATCATTAATACTTACTAGAAAAATCTTTTATTCCTTAAATTACGACTTAGTCTATCTCGCCAGTTTTGCAAATTTTATATCTTTTTCGGTATAAACTAAAAATGGGTGTTTTTAAATGAAAAATTAGCGTATTTTGGAATAAAATGTTTCGTACGCGTACATTTCGGCATAATTTAATTCTACGCCCAATTAAAAACTAAGAAAACTAACGAAAACGTATTCCACGTTAATTACAACAGAACACTCGTTTCCCGATTGAACAGTTATTCATAAACTGATTAATTTTGCGAAGCAACTCTCGCAAGATTTACGCGAAAAAATAATCCCGAAGGGGAAAGAAAGACGGGAGAGGGGATCGAGCAGAAGCGAGAGCGGCTCGCAAGAACCGCGGGAGATTGCTTTTAATTTAAATATCAAGCGATCGCGGACGATTAATCTCGCGCGGCCATAATGGCCGGCAATTAACGCGAAATTTATCAGCTAATTATACGCGGGGTTAATTGTCCCGTGGTAATGATTCCTGTATAAAGCCAGACGACGAGGTAGAGAGAAGGAGAAAAGGGGAGAAAAAAGAGGGAGAGAGATCCTTTTACAACTTGGCGCGTCTCCGCGACACGATTCAGACAACAAAATTGCAGAAAATCAGGGGTTTAACGACGTGTTGGAGGAATTAGAAATACGAGAAGGGAAAATGTTTTTAACGATTCAATTAAAGCGAGATGATTTTATTTGGAGGTTGAATAAGAAGAATTTGTTGGGATTGGACTACGCCAGGTGGAGGATTTTTCATTCGCCATTTTTGCCGATTAATATTCATAGACTTTGATGGCCGATGCGTGGAAGCATGCCGACGAGATCGGTCTCGAGTTCGTGATTGAAGATTCTCTGGTGATCTTTAGAAATCTGATCTTGGAACTTTAGAAATTTAGAGCGGCAGTTTCGAATTT